ATGGAATGACCACTAAGCAATCATAGGGGATCACCCAGACAGCCAAGGTCGGTTCTTCTGAGGCCTGTTTATTTTCCTAAACACAGTACACTTACTGATTTTAACAAATGCCTTTTCTTTGAGTTGGGGTTTGCTATCATGAAAATAACACTTTAGGTCTAACCACTAAAAGCAAATGGTCTCTTAATTAGAAAAATCCCATAGGATTTTGGTCTTTATTATTAATATTTTAAGTATATATTTTTTAAAATATTTTTATTGATTTCAGAGAGGAAAGGAGAGGGAGAGATAGAAACATCAATGATGAGAGAGAATAATTGATCAGCTGCCTCCTGCATGCTCCCTACTGATGATCGAGTCCACAGCCCAGTCATGTGCCCTTGACCGAAATCGAACATGGAACTCTTCAGTCTGCAGGCCAACTCTCTATCCACTGAAGCAAACCAGCTAGGGCAGGACTTTGATCTTTAGATATAACAAAAACTCACATAAGTTTTGGAGCTTTAATTTGTATAATTTTGCTCCAGCTCTCACTGCGTTGTATAAATTGAGAAGTTACTCTTTTTTATTTAATTGATTGATTTGAGAGAGAGAGAGAGAAGCATTGATTTGCTGTTCCACATATTAATGCATTCATTGGTTGCTACTTGTATGTACCCTGACCTGAGATTAAACCTGCAACCTTGGTTTATCAGGATGATGCTCTAACCCTGAGCTACTCAACCAGGGCAAGAAGTTACTACCTACAGCACCAAGTCATCTATATATATAAAAGCTTAATAAGCAAACTGTCCCCTTGGGAGTTCGACCAACAGGGAGTTCGATCGCTCGCTATGACATGCGCTGACCACCAGGGGGGCGGTGTGGAATGAAGGAAGGCCCTGGCCGGCAGCAGGGGAAGGAAGGCCCCAGCCATCAGCCACTAGGGACTCTCCCTGTGCACGAATTTCATGCTCTGGGCCTCTATTATAAAAACCTGTAATGGAGCATATTTTAGGCATCTTATTGTATGTTTATAAAGATAATAAAGAAAAATCTCATAGTTTTAAACAACCTTTTTTTTCCTCAAAGTACCTCTAACCAAATAGGAATCTAAGTTTACATTGTTTTTCTATGCTTTTATCGTCAAAATATTTCCTGCAGCAGTAATGCCTTAAACTTTTGGAAGTGTCACATGCAAAAATCATTTGTTAATTAGATGATTTTGTGTGTATTTTACAATACTTTGCTTTATCTGGGAAGTATATTAGTGTCAGCAGTTACCATGGCTCATAAGTTAATATATTCAACACCTTCAAGTTGTTCATGTTGAAAACTATATAAAGTACTTTTTAGGGTGCTTTGGAACCCACAGTTTACAACTGGGAATGGCATTTGCCAGCTCCTCCACAATGAGTAATAACTCAGCAGCCTCGCTGTTTTGCACGCCCGGCCCCCATCAGGCTGCTGGATCCTGAGGCTTGCCCGCCGTTTCTGTGTGTACACAGACCGTGTGGATGCCTTTCTCTTTAAGATTTAGTTGTTTGCTAGAAATTGAGCTTTTGAATTTTGTCGGGTCTTTGTACTCCTCATTTGAAAAATATTTAAATGATATTGCCCAAAGGGCACACAGAGAAACAGCGTGACTGACTTTCGGGAAATTAGTAAGCAGCAGAGTTATTTTTAGCTTTTACTCTTTGCAAACATTTCCTTTTGTTCTTTAGAAGACATTGTTGATCTGTTCATTCATTTGCTGTGCTCTCTCCCCCACTGCAAGATGGCTTTAGATAGAATAAGCCTTCTCTTCTCCACTCTGCATGACATAACTGTGTTAATTCTTACTTTATTCAATTTTAACTCATGACTTATTCATTTGCTCATGTTTTCCTAGGCTCTGAAACGCCATCCCCACCACCAACACACACACATGCATTTTGTTATTTAGGGTTGATTTCCCCCCTCATCTGCAAATATTGACTGAAAAATATTCACACAGGCAGCATGTACAAAATTTATATTTCTACCAAAAAATTGTCTAGTGGTAGCTGATAGTGTGAGTTTGTGTTTATTTGCTGTTAGTACTTATTTTAAAACTATAATCTTTAGAAAAGTATGCAGTTCAGATTACAGATTACCAGTCCAGAATAGATGGTTACAAAGGCTGCCATGTGCACGTCAGCCTCATGTTTGGTCTTTGAAAAATCTTCCAGCACATAGAGGAAGTCGGGTTTCTACGGAAGTGCGCTGAGACCACACTTACTCTTCACATAAAGGCAAATGTGATATGATTTTTCTACTTCAGATCCCTTTCAAGAACACTTAGTCATTTTGTAACATTATAGCTTAACCTGTTATTTTTCCCATTTTTTCCTATAAGATGGGGAGGCATTAGAGCATTTGTGGTTAAAATTGCGGGTTCTGGAGTTAGACCACATGGTTTCAAATCCTAGTTCTACTGTTCATCGCGGTATGCCTCAATTTCCTTATCTCAGACATTGCGATTACAGTGTTTACTTCATACAATTGTTTTGGAATTTAAATCAGATACTACATGAAAAGGACCTAGCATAATGCCTGACATAGTGAAGTCTCAATAGTTGTTGACTATTATAATTACTGTATATGTTTGTTTTATCTAAATGTAGGATCACTTATTTTAGAAGATTATATATGAAAAAGAGGCAAAATACTCAGTTATCTGGAACCCTTTCTCTGCAAGAGTATTTTTATTGGGATGTCCTCTAACACAGGTGGCCTATTCCAGCAACCCAGTGATTTTCGTCTCCTTTGGCCCTTTGGGATTTGCAGCTCTTCACATCTAGGATCAGCACAATTAGAGTGGGAAGTCAAGCAAAACGTTTTTGCATAAAGGGAGGAAGGCAGAATGTGAGTTGGCGTTGACATCTGTGCTTCTGCCCTGGGCCAAATGCAGAATGGTTATTGCTGCTG